AAATCTAAGGGGATGGGCTGCTAGATTGTTCTCAGTTCTCTGAATGACAGAGTAGGCTAAAAGGTTTTATTCATAACCTTACTGTATTATTGTTGAAGATCACAAAATGTGTTTTGAAGAAAACACAAAGTAATTTGTAAAGACAGTCAAGATTTATTTCATTTGAAGTTTTGTTGTTAATATTCTCTCTCTCTCTTTCTGTGTGTGTGTGTGTGGTGTGTGTGTGTGTGTGTGTCCTTTATTCTCCTCATTTCTCTTTTCTTCCCTGTATCCCCTGCTTCCCTTCCCTCTCTCCCTCCATGTTACCTCAGGGATGGACTGGGTAATAATCACTCCTTATCACCAGGCTCCTTATGAGGCTCACACAGTCTCCTGTGAAGAGCTGGAAGTAGACTCCTCATCACCTTTCTTGTATCAATAGCACCATTTGTTCAGTACCAGGGTGTGACTTTCTTAGCATAAACATGAAACTGCTACATCTGGCCCAACTATTGGCAAACCAATCAAGGCAGCCATCCAGGATGTGGAAAGAAATATTAATTTTAAGTTATGCAAGCTGTGTCCCCATTTAACCAAGATCTTTTGTGCCATAACATGATCTAATTGTCTCGCCAACACAAAACCCATGGCAGTATCTCTTTGCCTCATAAATTCTTTCATGTTGGCCCTGAGTGTTTCTCACTGCTTCACATCTCACTTGTATCTCCCTGTCTGGGCCTAAATCTGTCCATCTACTTTTCTTGTGCTTCCTCTTTGAACTTCTTTCAATGGATGCTTAGAAATATGAGATTTTGCCTGGTTATTCATATAACAAAGATTTTTCTCTGCTTAATGATTTTCTCATTTAATAAATGGACTGGGCAGGTTGTGTTTGGACAGTCTTATCCAGTCTTTGACCTATCATGGATACCACCTAATACACATTAGAGTGGTTCTAGCACACAGATATAATACAAATCTTATAAGAACTTGCTTACAGTGTGGTAGTTCCTGCCTGAAGGCCAAGCCAGAAAGATTGCTTGCTCACAGCCAGCCTGGGCTACATAATGAGTTCCAAGCCAAGCTGGACTACATAGTTGGGCCAAAGAAAATGAAAGAAAGAGAGAGAGAGTGAAAGAAAGAACGTAATTTGCATCCATCCATTGGTGAATCCCCATATCGAATTAACCAAATGGAAACATTCATCCTGCACAAAATCACTCAATTCTTCCTCCCAAGCAACTGTCATTGCTCAATTTTTCATTCTGAACACACCAGGGATCACTGGCTGCCATCCTCTTTGTTACTTCCTGCAACTCCCTCACTACTCTCCTGTGATGTTACTTTCCTTGGCAGGAAGTGGCATGCCATCACAAGTTTGCTCTCCTTCACTGTTAAGCTATAAATTTGATTATCCTGAGCCTCAAAGACTGTCTCTCTTGATCACCCTTGTAATTTTTAATAAATGTTCTTTCTTTCAGGTCCTTCATTCTGCTTGTATTTTTCCATTGTGGCAGTTCAAAAATATTCTAACTTCCATTAGAGTTTCAGATTATATCTTGGTTTTGATTTGCCTGTGAAAGAAGACACTGAGACAAGAATTTGAGTTAAATTAATTTATTTGAGGAGTCATCCTGGTAAACAGAAAGTGAGTGTAGGAAAGGAAGAAAGACAATAAGGTGTACATGATCAAGACACTTACCACTGTGGATTTAGAGATCAATCTCACTGGGAACTCAGAGCAATGGCAATGAACACACATCAGTTATCTAGAATGAAAGGCAGGGGGGCTAGGAATTTACCCACCTACTCCTCAACTATAATCGCTATTATCCCCTTACAGTGATTCCTGTTAGTCTACCAAGTGTGTTCTCACAACCCCAGTGAATTCCTAGAGATAGCATCATAGATATGCCCAGCAAGAAAGAGTCTTCAGCGCGTAAGGTTAATGCCCAGGATGTAGCAGACACGAACAGCCTCTGGAACAGGGAATCTTAATGTTCTTTCCATAATTCATAGAAAGATCCAGCTGCTGCACCGAGAAGCCAGTTCAGCTTCACATGATGTACTCAATGTCTATTCTGTGCTGGATACTAAGGGCTGGAGATGAAGAGATAGATAAAAGCCTCTGGCTTTGAGGCTCAGTCTAGAAGGACAGCAAATCAGTGAACTAACACCCTATATTTTCTAGTGCCAAGCAACTGAACAAATATAAAGTGTTTCTCTGGCTACCTGATGTTTCTCGGGCTCTCTTCCATGGCCTTTGGACATGGAGACCCTTGCACTCTTCTCTCCCCGCTGTCTGCCCTCCACTCACCCACACTCCCTGCTTCACTTGATTCATTGCACTTAACTCAGGGCATTATAGCTTCTGATTTTTCTGTATTTTCCATGACAACGTAAACTTTCTGAGGACAGTGAATATGATTTGTTCACCTTTGTTTACTAGATGTCTAGCATCCTGCCAGGCACACAGTGGGTGCTTAATAAATATTTAATGAATGATGACTATTTCTCAGAACACATACACACAACCAGGTAGAATTGTATTCAGTGCCACTAATTTTGTTTTATTTGCCTTTAAGCTAAGCCAGAAATTCCCACAATTGTGGAAAACAACACCATGGAAGTCTTGGGAGAGGTGAGTCGTGTTAAAGCCTTTGAAAATCTATAGTATTACATGCCAGGTGAGGCAGACTGCATAGTTGCTAGGAATGTTCCCTCAAAAAGACCTCATTCCTTCACCTTTTGCCAATTAACTACTGTTTGGGAAGAAGGGAAGCTGAGTTGGTAGGAGGAAGGAAGGTGAGTTGGTTCTAGAAACCAAATAAGGAATCCTATTTTGACCTTGGATTTTCAGAAGGTGTGATCTGCATCTTTAGTCCTTACATTTCCTGAAAAAAAGGTGTGATCTGCATCTTTAGCTTAAGCTTCTATATAATAAAAATTGAAGGGGAAATGGGACAGAAATCAGTGTGAATCCTGGTGTAAGAATGAGGATTTTGCTCAACAGCTATTTAATTTTTTATAATTTATTTCCTGTACTAGCTTTCCATTGCTTTTATTTCAAAGAAACAAGAGGAAATGTGCCCACCTGTACTCTTTCACACCCTTTTTCTTTAGCAGTAAGAGGAAGGCCAGGAGAAAAAGGAAAGCAGGAGCTTTCTGACTTCAACTTCTTCAGGGTGGTTCCCAGCCACAATTGCTGCGAGCTGGACCCAGCTCCTTCTCTTGCTGGCTGTGACCTTTAGCAAATTATTTCACATCTTTGTACTCAGGTTCTCCATTTATAAGAAGTATCTAATAATAATATCTGCTCATTGTTGTTTTAAGAATGAAATTAATGTATGCACAATTCTTAATAGAATATGAGGCATATATTAAGTGTTCAGTGTATTACCATCTGTTTAATTAGCTATCTGTGGCCTTATGAATTTATCCAAGATTTTCAAAACCCAAGGTAAATAAATACTCATGAAATCTCAAAACATTTTCTGTTACATGAGGTGAAAAAAATTATATTCTTGTCTCTCCCACCCCAAGAACACTCAACAACATGATTTCTGGTCTTGCTGAATATCAGTCATTTTGACAGCTGCAGACAAATAGTGGGTCAGACTCTGTGGGGTGGTTTTGGGTGATGTCATATATGCATTATCTAAGGATCTCTGTCTTTTAACTGCTATTATAATCCTGAGCATAAAAAGAAAGATTTCATCATTCTTGCTCTGCTTCAATTAATCCCCAAGTTTATCAGTAGTTTATTTCAATAGATAAAATAAAACAATCTAATGATACAGTTTTTGTGGGTGTTTTGTTTCTTATAAAGCTCACTTACAGAATCTTGGTGACAATCCAAATATAAAACTGTAACTTGGATTCAAGAATCCAGTTATTAAAAAATAAATAGACTTTGCCTTCCATGCCATGTGCCATAAAATTTCCTCTCTGTACCCATGCCTGTCTAGGTACTGGTAGGAGAGCCAGAATACTTTCTATGCTGGGGAATTGGTGAATACTGTCTCTCCAGTTCCACAGAACCAACTACAGGACATGGCTTGTCTGTGAGGTTTTAATATCTTGCCAAAAATTACTAACTTCTCACCCTACTATTCTTATGATCACTGCTATGCTTTTAATAACTTATTAATTTTGCAAAACCCTCTCACATACTTTTATTTTGTGTTGCTTTCAAAGAGCCTCTGAAATAGGTAGAGCTTCTGTCATTTTACAGATGTGAAATTACAGCCTGGAAAGTCCAAACCTTTAGCTGAACCACTAACAAAAGGCAAAGGTGGGTGAAAGTTTAGCATGCCCACATCCAGGGATGATGGAATGATGAAAGGAAATCATTTGAGCTCAGATTTGTTGGATGGCACTAACAAATTCTAATTCAACCACTTTCTAGTTATATATTCTCACCAACCTCTTGCCCGCCCCCCAAAACTGGGATTAATAATAAAGACTTCATAGCATTCTTAGAAGAATTAAATTTATGTACCCTTCTGAAGTGCTTGGTATATAGTAGATGTCTCAGGAATATTTTTTCCTTACCTACTTATCATTTTCCTACTCTTTCACCCATTCCTTCCTCTTCAAGTACATTTATAAATCTACTATGTGACTGATTTTAAGAAACAATGTGGGATAATGAAAAAACACAGCATAAATCCTGTAATCAGGTAGAACTACATTTGAATTCTCTTCTATCACCTGTTAACTCAGCCCTTGAACCTCAGTTCCTTCTCTTCCTCATCAGTGAAAGGGGGCAACCAATGATTCCCACCTCATGAAGGTGATGGAAGCATCAAATTAAAGAATGTCTGCAAAACACTTACCACCTGACAATCACAAGTATTCAGTGATAATCATTTCTACCCCTCTTCACTCCCTTAAAATTAATTTAGGCAAGATGCATAAATTGGGTGCTTACTCTGTGCCACATAGTAACTACTCTAGCAGCCCTCTGCAATGGACATTGCTGGGGACTTGGTGTGAGCTGTATTCCACGGTTATTAGCTACATAGTTTGACTAATTTAGTACTTCTGTTAAGTAGATAAGAATCAAAATTATTCTAACAATGATGCCTCTCAGACTTGGATGTGCTGGCAACACCAAGAAGAGTGTGGTACCTGTGGAAATCAAGTTCTTGAGTGTCCCTAAGGGAAGACTTCACCAGAACTTCCACACAGAAGGCTGCTGAGATGAGAGGGGGTCTTTAACCTAAACCTAAGGGCTCTGCCCAAGTAGGAGATTTTTATATTATACATATAGGAAAAGATACTGACCCAAAGAGCCCCTTGGCCTGCATAAAAGCAGATATAGCATAAGAAGGCACTAGACATACAAAAAATGTAGAGTTTATTCAACAGTTCGGGCTTTGCAAAGTCACAGCTGCCTCTCTTTACTTGTGTGCTTTGTGTGTGTATATGTGTGTATGTGTGTTGTGTGTTGTGTGTGTGTTTGTGTGTATATGTGTGTGTATTGTGTGTGTATGTGTGTGTTGTGTGTGTTTCTGGTACTGGGGACTAAACCCAGGGCTCCTCACTTGCAAGGCAAGTGTTCTACGCTTGATCTATGCCTGTAGCCCTTTTGTTTTTATTTGTTTTTTATTTTAAAAAATTTTTTGAGATAGGGTCTTGTTAATTTTTCCAGGACTAGCCTTGACCTCGAGATTCTCCTTCCTCCACCTCCTGAAGAGCAGGTATTACAGGTGTGACACCATGCCTGGCTTGTACTTGATGCTTTAACCTGATCACTTCAGTGAGTCCTGTCTTTGTAACTTCCTGCTTTCATTATGTTTGATAAAATTTAGAAAAATGTATCAAAAGAAAACTAACAAAAATGGAACACAGGAAATAAATGCAGTTTGAGGCTATGATGCCTAAGAGGAAGAGGAGATCTACAATAATAAGAACCATATAAAACACACACTAAAATCTAAAAAGCACGCTGTAGCTGGCATCAGACTTTACCAGGAGAATTCTGGTAGCTTTATGTAGGGTTCAATGATTTGTATTTATTTGATTTTCCAAAGCTTGAGCTTCTGTGGTTTTCCTGACTTTCTTAAGCACCATTCCAAATGCATGTGGACAAATGCATGTTTGTGTTTTTAAGAGATTAGGTTGATCATCTTTTTGGCACAAATCATACTATGGCATATGACTTGCAGCAGCCATTTCATTGGTGAGTACCTGAGCTTCCAGCATGGTGGAGAGATCCCTAAAGGAGCACATAGCACTGTGAGGAGACCACATGGGAAGTGAAGTCTTTAGTAGAAAACTTTTTTTCTTTTATTATACATATGTGCATACAAGGCTTGGGTCATTTCTCCCCCCTGCCCCCACCCCCTCCCTTACCACCCACTCTGACCCCTCCCCCGCCCCCCTCCCCCCTCAATACCCAGCAGAAACTATTTTGCTCTTATTTCTAATTTTGTTGTAGAGAGAGTATAAGCTATAATAGGAAGGAACAAGGGTTTTTGCTGGTTGAGATAAGGATAGCTATACAGGGCACTGACTCACATTGATTTCCTGTGCGTGGGTGTTACCTTCTAGGTTAATTCTTTTTGATCTCACCTTTTCTCTAGTTCCTTGTCCCCTTTTCCTATTGGCCTCAGTTGCTTTTAAGGTATCTGCTTTAGTTTCTCTGTGTTAATGGCAACAAATGCTAGCTAGTTTTTTAGGTGTCTTACCTATCCTCACCCCTCCCTTGTGTGCTCTCGCTTTTATCATGTGCTCAAAGTCCAATCCCATTGTTGTGTTTGCCCTTGATCTAATGTCCACATATGAGGGGGAACATATGATTTTTGGTCTTTTGGGCCAGGCTAACCTCACTCATCATTCTGAGTAGAAAACTTTTTTCTAGACCAAAGAGCTTTCATTACAAGACTTCAAAGTAGCCAAAGTTTTGCACAAACCAGGTGTTAGACTTCGATTTGCTCACAAACAACTCAAAGGGAAGACAGGTCTGACTAACAGCACTGCCTCACAAATCTAAGAAGTAGTAAGAATAAACCACGTAGGTGAGGACCAGAGGAGGTAAGACGCCATCTTTACACCAGGTCTTGTCAACTCTTAGGGACTCTGGCACCCATAGAGTATTTGCACTATCAGTGAGATTAAGGGGCACTTAATCCTCTATGTTCTCTTGTCTCTCCTAGCCATCTCCCACTCTGTATGTAACCCCAGATCATTAAAAAAGAAGAGGTGCTAGAGGAATCTTCCCACACAAAAGGCAGTTCTAGCACAAAGGCCAGAGAAGCATCTATTCCTAATTTAACATTTTAGGCATATCCTTGACCCAGGAAAATATTCCCTCCATATGGACTGTTTTTTAAAGCATCCCTTTTTTCAAAGCGTCTCTGAACAAGTTTTAAACCAAAGAACAGTGGATTCCCTGCAGTTAGCATTTCAGAGGCATAAGTAAACTCTGAAACCTACTTCTCAAGTGAATGACTTGTCTATGGGCACAAAACAAAACCAATGTAACTCATGAAAATTGACCTCAAGATCTAAGAAAAAACTCTCTGTCTTTCATTTGTCTGGACAATCATGGTCTCTTTTCCCTTTCCATAGAGAATTTTCCTAGAATACTGTCTCTCTTCCCTATCTTTTCATTTCTTCTCTATCTCCTTTTATTTCATGTTTTTACTGATTTATGTCGTTCTTTACTCTCCTTACTTATTCCTGCCTCTTTATCTTCTTTTTCTTTCATTAACTCCTTCTCCCTTAGCAGACCTTAATGTGAAACTTGAATAAATTTTAAAATATTTGTGGTTAAATTTTTATATTCCTTAGTCTTAATGTTTACACCAAATGAGTTGAAAAGTCTGATTTTTCTCTGTGGTAATTTCACTTAATTAGTTTACTTGTTAGATTGTTGACAAAACCCACAGGATGCAGATATGTTACATTGATGAAACAGTTTATTCTGAACAGAAGGTAAAACATTTCTGGCATAAGAAAAAGAGATGCATGCATTACAGGTCCTGAGAGTTCAGATCGAAACCTCTTTGACCTTCTGTTGGATCACAGAACTAGCTTTATATCTAGAACTCAGTTCACCATCAGTATACATGCAAACACCTCTGCCCCAGGAAGGCTAAGTTCTGCTCCTGCTAGGGTCTCTGAAGGTGAGTTATGCACATTCTAGCTCCCTGCACAGACTTAACCCTCAAAACCTTCCACTCCACAGATACCAAGTATTCATAATGCAGACAGCATTTGGGGTACAGGTGCATTTAGTCCTGAAAAAACCCACAGACCTATAGTGGCAAAACAGTCTTTATCTTTAGTTAGTATATCTGAAGCTTGACCAAGGGTCAGCAGACACTAGGAACACTGTAAATAAGCATTCGGTCAATTCAAACCTTCTGAGATTAACTCACCCTATGAACTCTTCTCTTAAATATAGACACTAAACTACTGTGCTTTATATTTGAGTTGGAACAAAAATGGGGAAAGTCAGGATTTTCAGAACAGATTCCCCTGAGCACAATTTCAACAAAATGGAAGGGGTGTGCTGCTGCAGACAGGTCTTTCTCATGATGCTGGTATGCCTCCTTCTCAGCCCTCACCTTCCACTTCATCTCCAGGATGGCCCTTTCCACCTCCTCCAGGGCTTGCTCCCTCCTCTCCACAGCCCTCTCCCGCCATTCCACTGTCCTCTCCCTCCTAAGCACCTCCTTTTCCCTCTGGCTGGCCCACAAAGCCATGGCGCCCACCTGCTCCAGGAGCCTGCCCCAGTCACCCTCGATGCCCAGCGGGAGGTGGGGACCTGGGGGCCGTGGATCTTGTCGCTGCCCAGCCTGGCCATGGCCATTTTTCTCCAGTTCCACTCTATGCTTGCTTTTCAGATGCTTCCACAGGGCAGTTGTGCCCACGTTGACCCCTGGGCCACGGCTCACCTGTCTGCCACACAGGTGGCAGGTGGCATATTGGTTTGGGTGGTGCCCAGCACGAGCAGGGGCCAGGTGGACATATTCCCATGCCTCAGAAAAACGGATCCCTTTGTTGTGGGGCATTGGGGCGGGCATGGCACTCACAAATGGACCAGCCAGTTCTCCCATCTCTAAGTCTTCCTCCTTCATCTCTAAGTCTCCTTTTGCCTGCATCCTGGTTCCTTTCTCTTCATCCTCTTCTTGTCTATGGAGTCTCCTCTTCCTGTCTTTAGGATGAGCCTAGATGTGTGCAAAATGATTCAGTTGAACCACAAGGTTCATGTATAGTTGCAGGAGACTGGGGAAACTTGTAGGGATTCACAATAATGGCGAAAGGCTAGCCACACCTGGGGGTGCAGTGTTTCCACCTTCTGCTTCACTGGAGAATTGGGGTGAGTCAAGCCAAGCAAAACGGCAACAAATGCATTTCTTCCATGCCCCAGATACTTACTGATCCCTTCTGGACTAGATCAGAAAGACAAACATATTATTTCCTGTAGCAAAGGCATTCCCTGCTCAATAATTTCAACACTCTTAAGTGAATTCAGTGTTCTCTACATCACCCACTGTCACAGATATTTTTGAATACTGAAAATTATAGGATTTCTCTTGATTCTCCTCCTGGCTGCTTCCCCTGTTTCTCCTGTTTGGAGGCAGGAGGAACAGCCTCAGAACTCAGGCTGATCAGGAGTCTTGGGGCTGGGCCTCGCTGGGTGCTCCTCAGTATGTAAAAGAAAACACAGACAGATGGGAAAGGCTCACTTCCTAAAAGCTTTTGCAAAGAGCAGTCTAGGGGCTGCAAAGCCTGCCAGGATCTGAATAAGGTTCCCAGGGTGAGGTCAATTTGTTCCTCTGAAGTTGAGATTCTAAGAAATCCAAACAGCTGGCCTAGCTGTTTTCAGCAGGAGGAGCTGGCGTGCACAGAGAAGAGGTGGAGCAAGCACATCCTCACAGACACAGATGTGTAGCCTGGTTGTCCTTCACACACAGCTCACCATACTTCTTCCTGGGCACAATCACCTGAAAGGCAACAGCCAGTAAAACTTTCCTAAAGAGCCTTAACCTAGACATTTGGTTAATTTACACCATTATAAAGATAAATAAATAGGAATTCACATTGCATTTTAAAAACAACCTGATTTCTCTTTCCTTACTTGGGTCATTTCTTAGAAGAAAAGAGATTTATTCATAAAACTTTGCAACCCTGAACAGTTAGGAACTTCACTAGCAAGCCCCAAGTGAGTACTTACAAGTAAAGAAGGCTCTGAACTTGACTCTGATCTCTCCCAGGAAGAGGAATGCTCCTGCACACCTTGGATGAGTGTTACCTGATTCCTACCCCCAGGAGGAAGAGCACCTCCAGTTCTGGTCTCCTCCTACTTCCAGGAGACTTTTGTCCAAGTGGGTGTGTCTCTGTCTATAAAGTTTTTCTGCAACATTTAAGCACAAATTCAAACTTTTTCCACCCCCCTGCATCACCCAAAAACAATGTACCTGGTAATTGCCATGCAGCAAAACAGTATGTCAAGCACCTCCAAGTCTCAGTTGTGTTTCCCCATGACTAACTTCTGAAGCAAAGAAAGAGTTGTAAGGCAAAGAGGTGAGGGTGAAATACCGGCATTTTTAAAAGCCCACATGCTTCAGGGACACCTGTGACTTCTGGTACTTTACCCAGTTGTCAGTTTATGGATTTTGATTTTTTGTTTGACATCTGTGGCTGTTGTAAAGGTAGCCAGAAGAGAAGTCAAATAAAAGGGAAGATTTTAGTGAAAGAAAACCCTGAAAATTCAAAGAAATATGGCAAATTGAGAAACAGATGATTTGGTGGGGGGAGCGACTGTGGGAATTGAACTCCAGGCCTTGTGCTTGCAAGGCAGGTTCTGTATCACTTAAGCCACACCTGTAACGTTTTTGCTTTAGTTATTTTTCAGATAGGGTCATGGTTTTTTTGTTCAGGTCAGCCTAAGACAATGATCTACCTGGCTATGTTTCCAGTAGCTAGGATCACAGGTGTGCACCACCACAACTGGCTTGTTCATTGAGATGGGGTCTTGCTAACTTTTTGCCGTGTCTGACCTGGAGCCATGATCCTCTCAATCTCTGCCACCCAAGGCATGAGCCATGACACCAGGTGGATTTTGGAGTACTTTTTATTATATTGTGCAATGAGGGTTGAAAAAGTTGAAATACTATTGGATTCTATTCTCAGAAATAAAAGAATAATCACCACCTGCATTTATGTTTCTATTTAACTTGGGAAAAGAAAATCTACCAAGAGGAGACAGGAATATTTTTAAAAAGGCACCCATGGAAGAAAAAACTTTGCATTATAGAAGATAGAAATGTCATAGCACAAAGCATGGAGGAGCTAAAAATTAGATTTCTACCTCTGAAGGAAAGATTCCAAACAGAAGTGAAGACTTGCTACACAAATGTGGAAATCCTTTTTTTTAAGACTGACAGGCTACATGTTTTCAAAATGATTCTAATGAAAAATCGTATGGAAAAGATGCTATCCCAACTTAGGCAAGGTGAATGAAGTTAACTTACAGATGAAGTTAACTTACAATTTTGCCTGTGGAAATTGAAAATGTTACCAGACCCACATCCCTTTACTCACTGCCATAAACTGGCTGAATGAATGAGGTCACGTTTTGAGACAAGTAAAAAGATGTATTTGGAAAGTCAATAAAACCAAGAAGATGGTGAGCCTGCATTCTGAAAAGACCGTCTCAACAGAGCACGTGCTTCATGCTCCTTTATTTTAAGGAAAGAGAAAAGTGGGGGGCGGATTTAGGACAGCAAATAATTGACTACTATAGACTCTTAGTTCTTTCTGGTATTCTGGAACGGGATGTCAGAAAGCTTGGTGATTATCGATCTGTCAGTTTTTCACTTGCTCACAATATTATGCTGCCCCTGTAAATCTTAAAAATGTCATCGTGGTATCATCAGTCTTGAAGGCTGGGAGTGAACTTAGGGATGTTTTCACAGAATCAGCCTGACATGTTTAGTTTCATATAAATATTCCTTAAATGATTAACAAGTGCTTGCATGCTCAGAGGGGCACAGGCATTTTCTAGTAGAAGATCACAGAGCTGGCGGTGGTAGCACACGCTGTTAATCAGTAAACTGAGGAGGATGAGGCAGTAGGGTGGTGAGTCTGAGCCAGTCTGAACTAAACTTACAAACGTAATTGCAGGGGGACTGTTTTGGAGGGAAGGGAACCACAGGAGGGGGGAGAGTGAAAAGAGAGGGAAATGGGGTAAATATGATCAAAGTATATTAAATGCACTTATAAAAATAGAATATTGAAACCCATTGAAATTTTAAAATAAGTGATGACAGAGGTGTGATTAAATATATGGAGCAAGTGGGGCTAATTTTTCTTTGAACTATAAACATAGCCACAAAGCAATCAGCCTTATAACCAGATTTGAATTCATTTATCTGACTTAGCAATCTCATCATGCTCCAATCATCCAGGAGTTTCCTGTGTTTCTTGGGCAACATCTGCAACTCTCATCTGGGCCTCAAGTGCTCTGCTAAAGGGTCCATTCCATACTCCCTGTGTTGGTGAATTCCTCACTACCTTCCAACACAGACCGCCAGCAGAATCCTGGGCCACATCTTCTCTGTCCAAAAAAATCTTACTCTGTTATCTAAGTTGTCCTCAGATTTTACTCTTTTATATGCTTCTATACAACTGTCTAACTATTTTTTGGCACCTACTACATGATTTGTGGTATTACTGTTCATTTACTTATTCCATCTGTACTTAAAGTGTTGGGAAAACCAATTTTATGACTTGTCTCTCAGTGAAACTCTCACACAAGGAGTAAGGGAAGGATTTTTTACATTTCAGCCAAGGAACATACATGTGTACATGTATGCGTGTACATGTGTACTTCTGTGAATATTTACTTCATGTTTTTGAGGTTTAACATGTGTTTTCTTTTTGCACATTCAAGTCAATAGAAATTCCTAAATAAAGACATTTCTGCTTGCTCAGCAAAATCCTATGTGCTTGACATCTCCTAAGGCATTTAAGTTTTAGAGACTAAGAGGCATTTTAGAGCAAGAACCATATTCCTGTACCAAATACTGGAACACAGAGTCTGGAACTAGCATAGAATATTTTAAATCTGAATCAAGCCAGTAAATATGAATCCAAAAAAAATCCATGAGTCAACTACTTTTAGAAGTGGATAAGAGATTTCTTCATTGAACCAGTTGTTTTGTTAAATAATGGAACCCCCACTTGTTCTTGATATTTACATAGTATCATCTTGTGTGTTAGATAAAGGTAGAAGAATGAGCATGGTTAAGGGCATTGAATATAATACAAACTTTAATAACTTGTGGACACCAGTGGCTTACACCTGTGATCCTAGCTATTTGGGAGACTGAGATTGGGAGGATCATGGTTTGAGGCCAGCCTGCTAGACAAATAGTTCACGAGACCCCATCTCCAAAATAACCAGAGCAAAATGGACTGTAGGTGTGACTCAAGCAGTAAAGTGCCAGCTTTGCAAGCACAAAACCCTGAGTTCACCCCAGTCCCCCCACAAAAAAAAATCCTTAGTAATTCTTTTATATATTTCACTTCCTATGCCTCTAAACTTCTTCCTAAACCAATTGGACATAAAAATCAATCTTTAGCATCTAATTGGACTAAGTTAACTTAATTCTCTTTACTTAGTAAGACTATATATCTAGATATATATAGACCTGGTTTTACTTTTTATTTTCTAAAAGACAAAATAACCTAACTTCATAATTATGTTTTTGCAATGCTAGAGATGGAACACAAGGCCTTGTTCATGATAGGCAAGTGCTCTACCACTGAGCTATATCCTCTGTCCCATGATTTCATAATTTCTACATCTGCCACATGCATGTGTCCCCATTACCTGGGAAAAAAATCAGATGTTGAATGAGTGGAAATACTGAGACCCACAGTATTTGGCACCTATTACCTTGAATGTAATAGACACCCCTTCAAAAGTCTCCTTTTTTCCCTTGGGATTTTGATAGTTATGTAGTGAAGGATGGTAAGCTGCACTTCAGTAGGATCCCACCAGGAAAAAAGGTGTTATCTAGTACCTTTGAGTTTTGTTTCTCAGCCCTGTAAGTTCAAATTCTTTGGGAGTAACTACTTTGTAGATTGATGCACTAAGATTCACATGCCATTAATTTTTCTTTACTAGTTAGCTACTATATTAATCATTGTGGGAAATATTTAGTTACTAAGAACTAGGGCCAGGGATGTGTAAAATATATACCTCTATGATGAGAAAATAGTAATTTCAAATGGAATTATACTTTTACAAGGTACTGGATAAAATAATGGGATATGATAAGTATTACTGGATATTTTCACTAGGCTGTGGAACAAAGTGTTATTCTTCAAAAAATAAAAAATGTTAATAAAATAAAACTAATCCTGCATTTAAATTTATGTTTTCATAACATAGCTACCTGTTTTTCTATTTCCTTCTTATTTCAATATGATATGCTGTGCCAGGATATATGTTGGACTAAAATTGAGGAAACACAGTTCCTAATTGTGTCATTAACTGCTCCCCATTTCCTTTAACCCTTTGGTGACTTGGGTTTTCCCATCTTCAAATAGTAATGATAAGGCATGCCTTGCCTATGTTATATGATCAAGGAAGAAAAGAAAAATAATAATTAGGAAAAATGATATATTTATTTCAAATGATTCCCGTGCAAATAGTGTTCTACGTTATTTGGGGAGTAGAAACAATGTGTAGATCTCCTTGAACTTTCAATCCAAGAACATTCTTCTATGATCTAGTCCTATTATAGTTCCTTCCTTCTGTTCTCTGGTTTCCAATTGGTCCTAGTTTATTCTGCCTCCACAAAGTTACAATTTCCCTTTTCAGAACACACAATCCAGACTTGTAAGGTTAGTACAGTCCTACCTTCTTAAGCCGCCCTAGGATTGTAGCCTTAAATTTATAATATCTCCACAGTAATAGCCCATGTATAGGTTAGTCATTACCTAGTCAAAGGTACAGGAAATCATTTCTTGCCAATTTTTCTCATATGAATGTTCGTGCAAATGTAAGGAACACTAATTTCTTGAACTTTGCAAGTAATTCTTTCTGTCTATCCTAGAAAATATTTACCTGCTCACTAAAGAATGTATTTCCGAAAGCAAACCTAACATGGCTTATAGATGGGAGGTTCCTTCAAGGTGAAGAAGAAGGTAAGGGAACAAATCCATGAAATGAATTTGGCAAAAAAAGAAAGAAAGAGAGAGAGAGAGAGAGAGAGAGAGAGAGAGAGAGAGAGAGAGAGAAAGAGAAAGAAAGAAAGAAAGAAGGAAAAGGACATTAGAACTTGTCATTGCCCATGTTGATTTTGGCATTCTCATTCTAAGAAAAATACTATCTTACCTACAAGATATCATTTTCTGACACTTCACCTGACTCCAAGGAGGTAAATGGTAACATATCCCAGAAAGGAAGAAACACATGCATTTTTATTTAAGTATTAGCAAAAGCAGATCATTTACAGGAGAACAAAAAAGTGTTGTTTAGTTTTGTTTTGTTTTGGTGGGACTCAAGCAAAGCAGGCGCTCTGCTGCTTGAGCCACACCTCTAGCCCAAAAATGTTTAATTCGACATATAGTTATTAATATGGTCTCTACTTTTGTTGCATTGCTACCTGTTCTTCCATCTCAATACATAAGATACTCGATTCCTATTTCAATACATAAATATTCAATTTATCTAGGACCACTGCTTTAAATTAATCAATAAATATTTTCTATGTTTTCTTGTGAGGATCTGGGGAAGAGTAGAGAAAGTGTATAGAAAGGAGTTGGCTACTTGACAAGGAACGTGTTAACCAAGAGGATTAAAAGTTCCTGGAACAGGAACACACACTGAGACAAACTCAGCACAAAGCAGTATTTTTCATAGGTGGTAACCATAGCAGTGCCTGTCAAATAATCTCAGGCATCCCCTGCCTAGACAATAGTCCTTATCCTGAGTCATTTTTCTCTAAGCTCAATATAACCAAGTCACAAAACTCTTGCTATACTGTTCTTTTTAATTGATAAACTTAAAAACTTTTGCCCACAAGTGATTGTAGTGACCATTTGATGTATATCTTATTAGTTGTGTTAATTATTTCACTTTAAAAACAATTCACCCATTCAAGTATGATACATTTGATACATTGTAAGAACCTTTGAATACGCCACAATGTACCCCTATCCAGCACAACAATAAAGGAAAACAAAACAAAACATAAAAACAGTTCTCCCTGGGCTGGAGGTGTCACTCAGATGGCAGAATGCTTCCCTAAGAAGTGCCAGGCCCTAAATTCAATCCTCAGTATTACAAAAAAAAAAAAAAATCAACAAATTAATTAGTTAAAAATTAAGTTAAAAACATTCATCCACAAAGATAACACAATGCAATCCCTGAAATATTCGTTAAAGGTTATAAATTTATTCTCCTATGAAATAAGCCCTGCAAAGAAAAGGCACCCAGATTTAATGTGCCTATTACTCTCTTATCAAGAGGCCAGATGAGATGGGTGATCAAAATTCCACCAGCACATCATTTACTACCATTTTGGCAAGTTGAAAGTTTCAACACTAACATCAAGAACCTTTAGTTCATGGAGAACATCATCTGAAGTGAAGTTAGCCAGGCTCAGAAGACCAAAAATCATATATTCTCCCTCATATGCAGATTACAGAACTAAAACAAATGCAGTAATATTATTGGACATGGGTCACACGCTAATAAGGAATAAGGACAGGGAAGGAAACCTAAAACTTGAAAGTGTTTGATGTGCCCACTGCAGAGGAGCTAATAAAGTAATCTTTTTTTTAATGTACTTACATATTTTTTTTAATTTTTATTTTATTCATATGTGCATACATTGTTTGGGTCATTTCTCCCCCCCTTCCCTCATCCTTTCCCTTACCCCCCCACCTCCTCCCTCTCCCTCCTACCCCCTCGCTACCCGGCAGAAACTATTTTGCCCTTATCTCTAATTTTGTTGAAGAGAGAGTATAAACAATAATAGGAAAGACCAAGGGTTTTTGCTAGTTGAGATAAGGATAGCTATACAGGGAGTTGACTCGCATTGATTTCCTGTGCATGTGTGAAAGTAATCTTAAACTGATAAGGCCACTGTGGGAAGGGGACCAGGAAGTAGTGAAGAGGTCTGGTAAAGATGAACCAGTGTGGGTTGTAATACACATGTGCATGGAAGCAATGCTAGGAATCTCTCTGGATAGCTATCTTTATCTCAAGCTAGAAAAAAATCCTATGTCTTTCTTATTATCTCTTATGTGTTCTCAACAAAATTGGAGAAGAGGGAAGAACAGGTTTAGCTTGGAAGTGAGGGGAGGGGAGTGGGAGGGGGCAGGGGGAAGAGATGGCCCAAACACTGTATACACATATGAATAAATGAATAAACAATTTAAAAAAAAGAAATTCTCACTTAGGACTTACTGGCCACATGGACCCCCTAGAACCATGACATGAAACTCTGGCACTAATTAACCTTATCAATTAATAAAGTGAGTTAATTTATTGGAGCTGTTAATTTTTAAGTAATTAAAATTATTTATATAAAACATAAAGTTACAAAAAAAGAAGAACCTTTAGTTCAAGGATGCTGTGAGAGTTCAGAAAGATATGATCTGTGGTGATAGATGGTTTTACATTAATTTCCTTGCATGCTATTTGGGGGTTGTACTAATAGTGGCCGTTAAATAGTCAGATTTCTAAAGACTCACAGGAACCAACTTGACAATGTTTATAAATCTACAGCTCATTTTCAGGAAAAAGATACAATATAGCAATGCAATTAGAGTATGCACTGTCTGCTACACTTACAGCAAGGAGTCCCTTCTGTCAGATGTGAGTTCCTCTGACTCTTTCTGTAAGAGCCACAGCTATGTGCACTTTTTTTTCTCAGCTCAGGAGCCACAAATATGTGCACAGAAGAGCTCAGAAGTGGCAAGCCCAAAATAGAGCCTCAGCTGAGGTTGTTTTCTAATTTACTGGCCACTTAATCCTTGACTAGCTAAACCCCACACAGAAGAGCCCTCCCTGGGTCTAACCCAGTCCAGGTGCAAGTCATCAATCTCACCATTATTAATAAATAACACTGACAAGCTGGGACAAGCTGCCCCCAAATGCCTTGGACCCATGATCACAAACAAAACAACACTACTCATCAATGCATTTCATACTTTAATCACAGATCAATGCCTTGCAGGAACTTGAGCAAACAGCTCAGGTTAATTCCAGGTCTGCTGGAATTGAGCCTTATTTCATAGAAGCTGCAGTTTGACTACTTCATACCCTATGTTGCCATAAACTTGTCCTGTGCAATTGCTCTAGCCTGTGGCCTCAGCTTCTCAGGAGGCTGATGTGGGAGGAGGACTTAAGCCCATGAGTTTGAGGCCAGTCTGGGCAACATAGGGAGACCTCATCACAAGACAAAACAGAACATAAATTGATAACACCGCACCATGTTATGGTGTTATAACACTATAACACCATTGGTATGGCTGATGCAAAAATGGTTATGACTAACTGTTTTTATGTCTTGTAGGAATATACATTGCTAATGAAGAGAGAAAAGGCATGAGTGGATTTTGGGAACTGAAGTCTGTTTTAACAAGAATGCATGGTAATAAGCCAGTCATATCAAACAACCTGACAATTTGGTGTATGGCTCTGTCTCCAATCCCTGGAAATAAAATGTGGTACACCTCATCAGAAAAGATCACTTTTTCCTTGGGTGAGTTTTCCACTTAGTAAGATAAAAAAGGGTTGGCAAAGATTGCCAAAAATGCAGAACATGTTTAATCAGAACAAATGGAATGTTCCCTATTGTCATCTCAGAAAACTCTCCACATATATCAAAATTATTTAACTTCAAACTGTAGAACATTTTTACAAATATAATTTGGAAATAATTTTTTGCAGTATTGGGGTTTTTTTTTTAATACAGGTCCTTGCACATGGTAGGCAAGTGCTCTACCACTTGAACCACACTTCTAGTCCTTTTAGCTGTAGGTTTTGTTTCAGATAATATTTCACATATATAACAGAGCAGGCCTTGGGCCACCATCTCCTACCTATGGCCTCCTATGTAGCTGAGTTTATACACTTGCACCACCATGCTCCAGTTTGTTTGTTGAGAAGGTTGGGGGTTCTCACTAATTTTTTTTCCCCTGTGTTAACCTCAATCCACAGTTGTCCCAGTTTCTGCTCTTGAGTGTCTGGTATTACAGATGTGAGCCACCACATCTGAGCACAAATAATATTTGGAAAAGAATTTCTCCAAATAGAAGGAAAGTGAACAATTCTTGTTTCTATAAAGAATCTCTGGCAGTAAATTTTTGTTACAATTATAACACTTTTGTCAATTTACCACAAAATGAAAATTCATTGTAATATTGATGATTAATAGAGATTTAAAAATCCTAAAATTCACTAGGTGCCAGTGGCTCACACTTGTAATCCTAGCTACTCGGGAGGCAGAGATCATGAGAATCACAGTTTGAAGCAAGCCAAGGCAAATAGTTCATGAGAACCTATCTCGAAAAAACCCATCACTAAAAAGGGCTGGTGGACTGGCTCCAGGTGACAGTATCCTGACTATCATCAGTCTTGATAAGGATTTGTTTATTAACTGGATTTCCAACTATAACCATTGAGATTAAGCCCTCTGGGAAAAGCAGAGAGTTAAGGGCTGACAGGTGGTAAGGGGCGGCATATATTTGGGAGTAGAAAGGAATATCTCCATAATGGAACAGGAATAACACTAAATATGGCACCTAATATTAAGGTGGAAGATGCCAGATCAGTACTTCTTCTTGTTCATGACTTCTGCAGTGCAGATGCCCTCATAACTATGACTGATCCTGGGGTTCCTGAGCACATAGATGAGTCTTAATATTTATATAAATTACCTCGGGATCTTGTTAAAATGCACACTCTGATTCAGTAACTCTGGGATCAGAACTGAGATTCCACATTTCTGACAATACCCAAAGAGGAGCATATTATTCTACTGGTCTATGGACCACATAGTGAGAAAATAAGATATGGGTTTTGTTCGTTTGTAGACAAACCAGATAATAGTTAATACTCACTTACAGGAAGCTCCAGAATTGACCAGCTATTCTTGTTGGACAGACTGTAGATGTTTCTGTCCTTGAAATTGTTCTGAGAGTTCTGCCCAGTCTGACCTGTCCACTGCAGAGTAGAGCCACTTGGCAATGAGTGAAGCTACTCTAGGCCAGCAGCTTACAACATTGTGGTAAATGCAATGATCTGAAAACTGGTTGAAGCATTTTTGCAAATTCTGCGTTTGAGTTTTGAGAAATCACTTTTCCTTGTTAGTTTTGACTAAGGCAGAGTTTCTACTTTACACTTCAACCAGACAGATGTTTTTTGGCCTCAGGTTTCATGTTTAAAACTATGTATCATCTTTGTCACAGAGCAAAGAGTTCTCAAAATGCAAATCTTGCAGTATATCTTCTTAATGTACTTGGTGGATAAACCCTCAGCTTCAAAAGATATTTGGTAATGAAATACAGTGTAATAATGTCCTGAAATAAAAAATGTTCATCAAAAAAAATAAATGTTTCCCATTGTGGGAATCTCGGGTTGAGCATAATCTGTCAACACCTTCTATTCTGGAGGTAGCAAAATGTTTTGCCATGAAGGATCAGATAGTAGATATTTTGAGTTTTGTGGACTATGTATTCTCTATCCTAATTACTAAACTCTGTCACTGAAGCACAAAAACAGTCACAGACAATATGTACACAAATGGGCATAACCATGTGCCAATAAAACTTTATTTACAAACATAGACTGTTGGCTATAGTTTATTAACCTCTGTTCTAATCAATCTATAGAGAAAAACCTTGAGGCACTTATTTTCCAGTTCCATGCTCCATCTTATTAAGGAACTATTTTGGAAAGTGATGCTTAGACTCTTTCAAAAGTCATATATGCACTTAAAGTTGATCTTCTTTCTCCCAATGTTAAGAATAAATTTGAATGCATTGGGTTGCTCATTTCCATTTGCCAAGATCCATAAGTACAGTGAGGAACAAACATTTACTTCTCTTGAGGGATAGTCCCAGTGACATAGAGTGATACAGCCACCTTTGCTAGAGACAAATACTCCATAAAGATCCCAAAGCCTCCCCAAGTTTGAGAAGGAAAAACAGGGAAGTGTGGGGATGGGAAAATGTCAGGAAGCAGCATGAACAAAGACCAAGAAGTCAAATAGAGGGAATTCTGTTTGAGAAACTGAGTTGAAATTTTGATGTAAGAGCAATGCAAAAGATGACAGTCAATGTCAGGAAATAAAGTTGAGAGTGTAACAAGGAGCCAAATGGTGATAATGCCATACTGAAGAGTTCAATCTGATTTGGGATGGCATGGAAGAAGAGTATGAGCATTCTGTTAACCTAAAAAACTCTCTGAATAACTGTCCTCTATCTCCTCAGAGAGTAATAGCACAAAAGCATTTACATGATCCAATCAGAGCCAGCAAAAGCACACTCTACAGCTAACAGCAATGAAACTGCCAACCACAAGAATGAAACATACATGTATCCAGATCATGAAAATAAATTCCTTCTATTGTGTATCATGGTATATAACTTAAATAATATATACTAACCCTTTAAAGCAAATTGCAGAATGGAACCCATAGTATAACTTGTAATTAAATAGCCCAGTAATTAACATAGATCATCTATGTGTGACACTGTATCCAATGTCATTGTATCTAGCAAAATTACAAAATCCTCCAACCTCAAAGTCATCTAACTACATTTATTCTGTATGTTCCTTGAGTCAATAAATTCTTCTGGTATTTGTAAATTGTTTTATCCCTCTGGAAGGGCTAACGTATAATCATGGAGGTTGGAGGAATTGAAATGAATGTAAAACAATATATCTTAGCCCAAATTTCCACAACACCTCCTCAAACACAAGGAAAACTGTAGCCAAAATGTTATGTCAAAAAGTTAAGTTTTAAAAAGAGCAAAACAATACTATAAATCTTAAATTCACTGATGTTAAATCCAATTAGGTAGTTGTGTCATTTTCAGTCTTACTAAAATTTTTGTCAGTTTATGGATTTTGTAAATTGTGTGGTTACTTTTTAAATAATTCAAACTATTAATTGCTGTCATGGTTTTCCTGTGCCTTAGTTAAATGTCACTGTCTACAGGGACCTTAGGGGAATACCTTTACTGCTGTACCATGGCACCCTGTATCTCATGTCACAGCAATCAACACAGTGCCCGACTGCCTCTTTAAGGCCAGCCCCAAGCTTTTCTCCTTCACCATTTTATCTCACTGCCTTGCTGATAGTAGGCTCTTAATAGTGATTTGTTAGGTAATGAATAAATATAGGAAAATATTTTTAGGAACTAAATCAATATCTTTCTGCTGCAGTATTTTGTCCATTATAAATATCTGTCTGAACTTTTCAGGTTCTGTGAATACTACAACAGATCCTCAGCTCAGTGTGACAGAATCTACCCCAGGCACCCAACCTTTTCCAGCCAACAGTGTGACTCCTACAAGTAAGAATGTTTTTACACTGTGTTTTTTTCTTTCCATAAGCTATTAATCTTTTAACCAAGCAGGCTGTTAAAGGAAAAAACTTCAGGAAACTTGCATGATTCATGTGTTTTTCTTAGTTATGACATTTGAGATAAACATAGTAAGTACTGTTCTCACGGTTTCAAAGAGTTAACACCACTTCCAAAGTCCTTCACTTGAAGCCTTGCGAAAACCAGGGTCAATAAATATTCAGTGCTATGTTTATTATTAAATAGGTTAATAAATTGACAATCCTCCTCCACAACTATGTTCTCAGTAGGAAGTTTAAGAAATTGGTTGCAATTGGGGATCCTGTGGGCTAAAGGTGATTAGACTGGCTTACATTTAAATCTGTTTGGGTTCAAGTTAATTATTCATGCTGACTGGTGAGGACTATGAATTCATCCCTCCCATCTGTAGCATCATTAATAGTGGAGGCTACCAGTGTTGCTATGGCAAAGGAATGGCAAAGTGACTGTAAAGGTTGGCGTCAATACAAATAAATCATAAATTCCATGTCCATGCCTTTAAAGAACCATGGTGGCTTTCTCTAATAATAAAAAAAAGTATATGTGGAGTACAAGTATGGCTTTCATTTCTTATTTAAACTATCAATTTTTGCTAAAAATGGAGTAAAACAAAAGAAGTCCATAGAAATGAACAATTCCTTTAGCTGTTAGCCTTTCACATATAGCCTGCAGTCACTGTCACAAGTAGAAACCTCTAAGAAATGAAGCAGATGGCAGGTGAGAGATGCCTGCAAATCACCCACCAAAAGTGTATATCCATCTGGCTTTTTCTTGTTCTTAATATTTTTTAATTCTCCTCTCATTCTCCTTTCTCCTTTACCTCCTTCTCTTTCTCTTCTTCTTCTGACTTCTCCTCTTCCTCCTGTTTGTGTTCTCCCACCTCCTGTTCCTGTTTCTTCTTCTATCTGAAGCTTTTTTACTTCCACTTTCAGCTCAACCAATAAATTGCAATAGACTATCAAATAGTAGCATATTCAATAATACACTTCATTTAGCAAATATTAGCATATTCAATAATAATACCTTAACTCTCTATAGTATCCTGTGTGTTTGTTATCCATTATTGCATGAAAAATTGCCTCAACACTTTGGTAACTTTATAAAACATGCCTTTCCATTTCCTAGGGGGTCAGGAATTCAGGAGCAGCTTAGCTGGCTGATATTAACTCAGGATCTTTCATGAGGTGTAGTCAAGCTGCTGGCCTGAGCTTCAGCCACCTGAGGGAGTAAGACAAAATCCACAGGGCCTTTTTAGGACTTGGCCTTCAACCTGCACACAATCCTATCTACCTTAATTTATTCATTAAAAGTTACTATATTCAGCTTTGCTCAAGAAAGGAGCCTTGGGTTCCACCTCTTGAAGGGAAGAGTATTAAAGATTTTGTGACAAATCAAAGCCAGCGTTTTGTGTCACTTTGCATGTTAAATACAATGTTGTTTGACCCTTTTTTATTATGAACAGTGGACAGAGCAAGTATTCACTTCCATTTTTCAGATAGGACACTGAGACCCCAGGAGCTTACATAATCAGCATCTAGTGGTGACAGAGGTGATATTCACAACAAAGTCTTCTAACTCAAAATCTAATTCTTACCACATCAATACCACTTTTTCTCCAATTAGCATAAATACTTCATAAATACAGGATCCATATTGTTTTGCCTTCCAGCACACACCTAGGACAAAGTAGACAGTCAAAATTATTAGTTGAATAACTGAGTGAATAAAAAAATGAATAAAATAATACTTTTATCACATATATATCTTTTAATAATCCCTATAATGTATTTTTTAAGTGTTTTTTCTTTCTGCCTTCAGGAAGGTTTCCACCTACCTGGAAGAGAAAACATACACACATGAAGATAATAATTCAAGGTAGTGAGGTAAAAGGTAGTATATACTGTAAAATTAAAATGTCCAGAGATAGGGACATACCAGGAAGCATCAGGCTTTGAGTTAAGGAAAGTCCCTATGGGTTTGTGGAATCAGAAAATGTTTCCTAAGAGAGATTAAATAAAATGATCTTTGAAGTGTATTTTACATTTATTCAACTTGGTGGAGAGCTTGAAAGAACATTCTAAACAAAGAAAACAAAGCAGCCACACATTGGCAAAGATGTTCATAGTCATTTGAGAAAATATCAGTAGATAAGCTTGGATCCAAAAGGTGGGACTGGGCATTAGTGAAGCAAAGATAGAGATTGGAAATGCAGAATAAAGAAAGCTTTGAGCACCAACTTAATGACTAAGCATTATTCTTTAGGAAATGTGGCAGGACCCCATTAGGCACTTTTTAAAAGAAGTGATGTAATTCATTCAGCAAATATTTACGTAGCTCCTACTATGTATCAGGCACTCTTTTAGGTGTTAGAAATACAGTGGTGAACAAAGTGGGGGAGGAGGGATTCTGGTGGCAATTACATTCCACTAGTTGAAATAGACAGAATCCCTTCTAGCTGAACTTCTGTGAGATTAGTCAATGCATGTTAAGTGCTAACATGCATTTAACTTCAGTGAAGAAATTCAAAGCAAGAGAAGGCACAGCTGTGCTTAAGGAGTGCACATTTTATTTATTTTTTTTTTCAGATAATCAGGAACATTTTAATATTTGTTGGATAATAAAATAGTGTTGTTTTTTTTAATTTTTATTTTTTTATTATTCATATGTGCATACAATGCTTGGGTTATTTCTCCCCACTGCCCCCACCCCCTCCCTTACCACCTGCTCCACCCCCTTCTCTCCCCCCCACCCCCTGTATACCCGACAGAAACTATTTTGCCCTTATCTCTAATTTTGTTGAAGAGAGAATGTAAGCAATAATAGGAAGGAACAAGGGGTTTTGCTGGTTGAGATAAGGATAGCTATACAGGGCATTGACTCACATTGATTTCCTGTGCGTGGGTGTTACCTTCTAGGTTAATTCTTCTTGATTCAACCTTTTCTCTAGTTCCTGGTCCCCTTCTCCTATTGACCTCAGTTGCTTTTAAGGTATCTGCTTTAGTTTCTCTGCGTTGAGGGCAACAAATGCTAGCTAGTTTTTTAGGTGTCTTACCTATCCTCACACCTCTCTTGTGAGCTCTCGCTTTTATCATGTGCTCAAAGTCCAATCCCCTTGTTGGGTTTGCCCTTGATCTAATGTCCGCATATGAGGGAGAACATATGATTTTTGGTCTTTTGGGCCAGGCTAACCTCACTCAGAATGATGTTCTCCAATTCCATCCATTTACCAGCGAATGATAACATTTCGTTCTTCTTCATGGCTGCATAAAATTCCATTGTGTATAGATACCACATTTTCTTGATCCATTCGTCAGTGGTGGGGCATCTTGGCTGTTTCCATAACTTGGCTATTGTGAATAGAGGAGTGCACATTTTAATATACATCTGGTTTTGGAGAAGGGAAGAAGGCACAATAAATATAAATATATGTGTAAACAACAAAAAAATGCTATTTGGTGTACTATTACTCAGAGCTGATGTAATAGGGAAGTTTCCAGAGAATCAAAGACCACCTTAAAATTAGGTACCACCACATGGACCCAAGGACTGTTTTAGATCAATAGTTCTCAATCAGGTTATTTTTTTTCCCGACCATGGAACATTTGGCAGGGTCTACATACATTTTTGGTTGTCACAATGAAGGTAGAAAGGTGTTATTGACATTCAGAGACCAAGGATGATGCTAAACCTTGCACAGCACTGGACAGAGCAGCCCTCAATACAAGGAACTATTTGATCCAAAATGTCAATCATGCCATTGAAAAAGTTGGATTTAGATGAGGTGTAATTAGAATAGGCAGCTTTCATTTTACAAAATCAAATCTAGACCTCTGTCAAGATGGTAACAATAGATTGTGTTTGAAACAATTTTCTATTTGATTTTTATACATCAAAAAACATGTAAAATTAATAGTTGATTATACCTAAATAAAACTTATCTTCTTGGCATACTCACTGACTTACTATTGAAAAATCCATATTTGAACTTGGCAACCTAGAGGGTAATTGTGTAATCACATGAGGACTTGCTGCCTCAGAAGCTGGTAGGATCCACCTTTCCAGGTTCTTTTAAGAAAGGAAGCGAGATGGAGCATGCCATGGAAATCAACTTCAAAAAGCTATGGCTTCACTCCAAAATCTAAGACGTAATGAACTATATAATTTAGTCATAATCACTAAGCTATATATCTGCCTGCAAGCATGTAATTCCTCTTTACTCAATGAAAGGGTATTTTTCAACAAATGAAGAAGGCCATGAAAGCAATATTCTTTAACTATGGAAAGAGAATTTTGGAACATAACAAACTGCAAGAGCTATCCAGGGAAGCCTGGTCAATTCAACTGGAGCCAATTAGTGCTTGCTGAGTCCCAGCTGCATTCTCAGCACTGTTCAGGAAAAGACAGGAGGTTGATGAGCTAAGTGACGGGATGAGACAAGCTCAAACGGAGCAATCAGGGACACCTGACACATTGAGGGTGAGGCAATAGTGGCAGAAGTCAGGAGTTTCATTACCCTCAAGAGAGAGGCCTGTGCCTTTGACTTACTTGATATGAATTGGTTATTAGTTATGTTGCCTAAGACAATAGACTGCAGAAATGTCAACCCCAGTTGGTTGGCATCCAAGACTTTTATTCATTCAACAAATAAATACTTAGTGCCTGCAATATACCAGGGGGTTTTGAGGTGCTGGATTACAGTGATGAACAAGACAGGAAGGGATCCTAAGACATAGAGCTTACATCTTGCATAATTCTTGCATATTTCTAAACCCACTAGACCATAGACCTTATTACTCTGTTTCCTATTTTTATATCTGTACTTGACCTTCTGACCTGATGACATTGATTTTGATATTAAGCCCTCTTTGGTACTTAGCTGCTGCTCACAGTCTGGATTTTTCTATTTGGGACACATTGAGCAAAATACCAGGTGCAGTCTGACTCTAGCCCCT